CAATGATTTTAATAATGTCATGAATGATGCTTTTTGGTCTGTATCGAGATTGTTAGAGTTGTGTCGAATAGTGTGTACAAGTTAGGTTACAGTTGGACTCTGAGTTGTATTGTGTTTAGATAGGATATGGAGTCGTGTCCTAATAGGACACTTGTATCCTAGGCCTCTCATATATAGCGGGGGTAGACACATGATGTAACCTATGCCAAAATAATAGCACCGGAATGCAGGGGAAGCCGGCGGTATGTGTCGGTGTCCAGGGCGACCGGGTGCGGTATTGTAGCGGTGTCATGCATGGGAGGAGCGCCCATAGTCAGGCCCCGGGGATGTAGCCATATTAGTGAACCTCGTTAACAAATCTCGGTGTCGTGCTCGTGTGATTGCTTGGTTCTCGGATGATCAACGGTATGCCTCGGATTTATTCTAACAGAGATATCTTCAACACCGTCTTTTTTGGGGATGTGAGCAGATTGACGGAATTGAGCCAATGAAAACTGATCACATGCAAGTTTGAGAAGCGGTTGACAACCATGAGGATTTCCGGTTTGACAATAAGACCTTAAACAACGCACCAATGAACCCATCTGAGCCCGATGCCTTGTCTCCCGAAAGGTAAAAAACAACAGACTCTACCTCCTCCGAGGCTCGGGAATACAACCCCAATTAAATCGTTTTGCCTAGGCACCCCTTTTTTCATGACGGTTGAGACATGCCTCTAGACAATAACCTTCTTGTGCTCATGGATAGTAACCCACCTAGGGCCATGCTTGAACGGTGTATACTTTTTCTTCTACTTCTATGGTTGATTCAGAGGTCGAAATGTTTAGTGTTTGCGTCGCCCTTCTTCAGATTAATAATTCTGAAGCATTGCCCATTACAAGCACTCTTAAAAATGGCTAAACCAAGCACTCTTCTTTCGAGTCTTTTCTTGAGATCCCGCTCATCCATATAAAAGCACTCTTTTTTTTTTGTTGGGCCATATCGAAGCAAAGGATGACCTCAAGAGCCATGCGCAGCTGCACTAGTGTTGGAGAAGATGGTTTTGCTCCAAGCACGAAGCCGCTGGCTAGTCTTCTTGAGCTTGTGAAAAAGAAGCTGGCAAGGACCAGGTTGGGTGGAAGCTTCATTCCAAGCTTTTTGCACCACAAGCTTGAATCCAGGCATCTTGGTCCCAAAATTCTCAAATTAAGCAGACAGCTACAAGTGCAAGCTACATCTCATAACCGGGTTGTGCATCCTATATAAGGACATGTACTCGACTATTATCATAGTTCAGATGTGGTTATTGAACTTTAAAAGACGTCGTGTACAATCGTACTGATTTTTTATGAAATAGGTTTTTGTCTCGCTTTATATTATTAAGCAAGGCAGTCAAAAGATACAAGGATCGCGGTAATCGTACCGCCACATAAACCATCTGGATGATATATTAGATGACACGTCAGATAGTGGTTTCACAGGCACCAAGATTGCTAAATAAATTAAAAATGTAACGAAAACAAAAGGTAAAAATGCAAGCACAGAAACTATGTAGCCCAAGATAAACTATGAAACATGAATTTTATTTCTTTATTCACGAAGCAAAACTTTGAAACGACCAGCAAAATGCAAAATCGATAATAAATAATCCAGAAACCAGATAAATTCTACCCACACTCAATAGATACAGATGGATGAAATATGAATTACAGCCGAAGAGAGACCCTTTTTTTCTTCCATGGAAAATATTGTAATAAGCATAATCTGAAATAATAATAAAATTAAGCAAACTGAAGGCAAGATCGACTGATGATGGCATGGCGTATGCAGAGAGGCGACGGCGTCTAGACGTAGGCGTGCTTCTCCAGCAGCTTGAGCACCTCCTCCTGGCTGTTGAGCCTCGCCACGTCGATGGCCGTCTTCCCGTCCAGGTTCTGCAGCGTCCTGCATTTCCACCATGATCGAGCTCCATCGTCAGTACTTAGATTACTATGTCAGCGAGCAAGCAGAAGCAGGTGATGTGATCATGCATGGCGGCGGCGCGGGAGATGAGATCGACGGCTACTCACACGGAGGCGCCGTGGTCGACGAGCAGCGCCACGCACTCCTTGCGGCCGTAGCCGGCGGCGTAGTGGAGCGCGGTGTTCTTGTTCTTGTCCACGGCGTCCGCGGCGGCGCCGGCCTCCAGCAGCGCCTGCGCGCACCCGAGCTCGCCGTAGCCGCACGCGAAGTGCAGCCCCCGCCGCCCCTCCGAGTCCTCCTCGTCCTTGTCCACGCCGTCGGCCAGCGCCTTCTTCAGCCCCTCCACGTCGCCCACGCTCGCCGTCTGGTGGATGATAGACTCCTCCTCGTACTCACCTTCCTCGCCGGCAACAACCTCCTCCTCCTCCTCTGCCTCGGCTTCAGCTCCGGCGGCGGCGCCGGATGGACCCACCCCCATTGCGCGGCCGAACTTCTGCAGCGCCTCCGGGTCGTTCCAGTACCTGAATTGAAAACCAAACGGTGTCAAGATTGGTCGACCGCCATTGACGATGCCGTACGCGGAAGGAATGTTGAGGCGGCCGGAGAGCGGCGAGAAGGTCAGGAGGTGGTTACTTCATCATGGCGGCGGGGCCGCCGGACTCGATCTCGTCGAGGATGGGCTTGAGGGAGGGGTCGTCCTTCATGCGGGCGACGCGGGCCTCGAGCTGCTCCTTCTGGGCGGGGTTGGTGAGGCCGCCCAGGACGGAGGACATGGCCGGGTCCTGCATCAGCGCGCTGCCCAGCCGCTCCGCCATGGCCACGAACTGCGGGTTCTGCATCAGCTGCTGCATCGTCGACACGTACTTCTGCGGGTCCAGCGCCGCCGCCACCTCCTGCGGCGACCGCGCGGACGCCGACGCCGCCGGCGCCGGCGCCACCGTCTTCTGCAGCTGCTCCGCCATCTCGCTGAATGACGGGTCCTTGGCGATCTGCTCCGCCATCTCCTTGATGCTCGGGTCCTGCAGTGCACGCCATGCCACAAAATTCAGGATTCAAATTTGCTCCGTGAAATCGAAGCAAATTATCAACCGATTCAAATTTGTATCTCATGCTTGAAATGAGCAGAGCAAAACAGAGTATTGCAAATTCTGCAGAAACTGTAAAATGCTTCAGTGTAGCTTTGATTACGTTGAGCAAGTTCATCATGGTGGAGAAGTCGAAGGGGCTGGCCGGAGCACCCGCCCGGCGCGCCGCCGTAGCCGCAGGCGGCCGCCGCTGCCCCTCCGCCGCCGCAGCCGCCGGGGAAGGCTCCTCCTCGGCCTTAACGCTTGTTTTCTCCTCTGCCGGCGCCGCAGCCGCCGGGGAAGGCTCCTCCACGGCCTTAACGCTTGTCTTCTCCTCCGCCGGCGCCGCAGCCGCCGGGGAAGGCTCCTCCACGGCCTTAACGCTTGTCTTCTCCTCCGCCGGCGCCGCCGCCGCCACGGGGGAAGGCTGCTCCACGGCCTCGACGACGCTCGTCTTCTGCTCCTCTGCCCAAACAATCCACAAGCAAAGCTTAATTTCTCCATCATCTCCCCAATTCTTCCCGCCACAAGAAACCGACCGAGTAATCACGCAAGAAGGAAGCTGGAAAACATGTGGCTCCTGACCTTGAGTGGTGGCCATGTCGAGCGACGGCGGCAGTGGAGACGACGCCGGCGTTGGCACTGTGCTCACGCAGACGGTGGTGGAGAGGATGACGATGATGGGGAAGATGATAAGGTGGTGGTGATGGATGGAGAGGAGAGAGTGCGACCAACCAACCAAAGCCAACCAGCCGGTCTCCTTTTCCCGGTGTATTTTTCGCCCGGCGGTTTATATAGGAACGCTTGGCCGACTAATGTTTGGACACATCACTTTGATTTACAACAACAGTAGATCTTTCTGGAAGGTGCCAGGTGTGAGACCTCAAAGGCAAGAATGTTTACTTACCACAAGAAAAGAACTTATTTCTATGCATTCCATGAGATTATAAAGAAAATCATGCTTTCATATTGCCGCATAAACCAAACCGGGCTGGCTTTCATATTGCCGAGTCGAAAACGAATTGCTTTCTTATTTCTCAAGCGACTCGGAAAAACCTCATGACCTAAAAATGTCTTATAGAAGTTTATAAAGAAGGTATTTAAAAATTATGGCAAACAAGACAACACGAAATGGGATTTTCCTTTCCCTCGAGCTAAGGGGGCTACAGCAAAGTTCTCCTCCCCTCATAGCTCCATCGGCCACCTCCTGGATTCTCCTCCCCTCTGCCTGCCACTCCGGCGGCTGGGTTAGGGTGTCTCGCCATATGCGCGCGGCGGCGAGAGCTGGTTTAGGCACTATAGAATGATTCAATGGCGGCAACTACCTCTCTAGAGCATTGGCCCTTAGGGGCACGTGCATGAAGACTTCTCGGCAGTGGCGAATCTTGAAGGAAAATCAAGGACGGGCTCAAAGTTAACGGTGTGAAAACAAAACCACCAACTCTCAATTCTTTTGTTGAAAGAAGGTTAGAATTGCCATAATACTACTGGGAACGTATACTATTAACTACTAATTTCTTTTTTGCATTGCTGGAGGGCAGGCTCAAGCCTATTAAAGCCCATCCAGTTGATTCGTCACTGCTTCCCGGTTGTCATCAACAAGTTCAGCTGGCTCCGGTATAGTCTGTGGCTCGTTTTATTGACGGTAGTGGTCACTCGGTAGTCCAGAGACCTCGGTGCAATTTTTATTATATTTGAGGTACTTTGTACTTTCCTTGAACTTTGATAATAGATCTGGGTATTCATGAAAAATAAAGACAATATAAAATGGATAAAAAGGATAAGGAGTTTCCGGTATGATGAATATGAAATTTTCAAGTCGATTAAGCCCTAGTCACTCCTGGAAAATATACATGGGCTCGATCTTATAAGCCGATCGAGGAGGTTGATTTAAGTTAAGCTACACCAATAAGATTGAGCTGCATTCAGAAGAAAAACATCCCATTTTACACGGAATATAGTCATCTTTTGTACTAATCTTAGTTTAAATTAAGTGTTGAATTTAGATGCCATGTTGTAGAAGCCTCTAGAATTTTGGTTGCTTGCTGTGTGGTGCATCCGTGCATGGTACCTTTAGCAACAACTTTGTTTATGGTGGTGGGGGCGACCAGGAGGTGCCATGCTTGCACCCCATGCGAATCCAACCAACCAGCTACAGAGAAGGATCGACAGACAGGGGATGGATGCCGATAACAAATGTGCGGATGCAATAGCCTCTCTTAGAAACCATTGCTATCGCTACAAGATACTCCCCCCGTCCCAAAAATTAGTACAAAGTTGAGTCATCTATTTTAGAACGGAACGAGTACATTCATACACGGTTTTCACACCGCGTCGACAATGATATTATTCATCTTCCGAGGAACATTCTAGTCTTCCAGACATTCCCGCAATTTCTGCGGAATCACAAATTAACGGATCCGAGTAGTTTGTCTGGAAATTAAATCATTTAGCAATTTGCTTAAGAGATTGTTATTTAGCAATCTCAACACTGCGAGGCCAACAATAAAATAAACTCACAAAATCAAAATGGAAAGCAGAAGAGACCGCCGACGTGACACATCAGACAGAATCACAGCGTGTGACGTGTCCTTTTATCGGCGGACAGGTTGGCACATCTGGGGAGCTGGAGTAACCAACTGAATTATGCAATATGCCACCTGTCAAGTTTCACTGGACAACTAATAAGTACTCCCTCCGTTCTAAAATATAGTACTTCCTCTATTCCCGTGCATCAACTTTGATCATAAATTTAACCAACGAGACTGAGTGCGGCGGGAGCAAAAGTTATACCAGTAAATTCGTATTCAAAAGAAATTTCCAGTTATATAATTTTTTCTCCCGCCACAGTTGGTCTCGTTGGTTAAATTTATTGTCAAAGTACCTCAGGAAGCGCGGGCACACTATATTTTGGAATGAAGGGAGTAACTGAGAGTTTGAGATTCAGACCACACAACACAAGCTTTTTGGGCTTGAGAGCAGGTGGAGGTTTCTTTCATCTGAGACTCTCACTTGGACATTATGTCTCCAGATGCTTTGTACTTTCAAATGTACCCAACAGAACCAAGACACTTGCATTGCCAACAAACAAAAAATGCTAAGGAGAGGAAAGGAAACCATTCGGTAACAGTTTTCGACGTACGTGAGATTTCTCGTGTACTTCTCCACAGAGCAAGGGCAAAACATTCAAACTAGGGAGACCTGTAGATGCATCAAAAAGTGCAGATGTTGCTGAGGCCTCCTCTGGAACTCTCCGTTGATGCATCCCATGTGTGTGAACACAGAAACTTCATAGAACCTGATGCGCCCGTGTTTCGCGAGCTCGCAACAAAAATGGCGATTGATCCGCTGCGCCAAGAATCCACGTGTTGGCTGTTTCCATCAGTATTTGTGTATCGCGACGTTGAGGTCCGATGAGATGGAGGTCAAAACTGGGAAGGTCTGGTGCCAAACGGCCTTGAAGACCCGCTTCTGATGAGCCTGCACCGACTGGCAGGGCTTCTGGCCTTGGTACCTTATGTCGAAGATATGGATCACAGGGTCTGCTGACCCAGATGATAAGTACCAGCCGTCCGGAGACCACGACTGGTTTATCAGGGCTGACTGGGACTCGCTGCTCGTTTGCTTCCAACCGATCGCGTGAACCTCGGTCTGCCTCAGCCTGATGTCAAACAAGCGGAGCTGCCTGCCTGGCGACCTGTTAGAAACAAGAGAGATTTAGTTTGCAGCACCAACATCCAAAAGGCACAGAGGGAACAGATTGCACCCAGGACTGCAAATGAGAAACATACAATTGCACCCAGGACTGCAAATGAGAAACATACAAAGGATCTTATGCAGTGAGGTTTTAGGTGCGAAATGGAACCCAATAATCAGAAGCAACATTAGAAGCCCACTTACCCTGTTTGTACCATGTATAGGTTGAAATCAGTTGGATTTAGTAACACGCTCAAGCATTTGCTATCAATCAGGTTCTTGTACTCTGCCCTTTCAGCTGAGACATCATATGATATTATCCTCTTGTCCATTCCGACTGATATTATTGTTTTTCTCTGTTGCAATCCGGCAACACCCATGACAGCAGAAGAATGCAGATCCCTGTGCACTTTCTTGTGGTTCCATGAATCGTCTTTCTCTTGCCAGAGCATGACAGCATGGTCACTTCCACCAGTCATAAAGCATGTATCAGACCAGGGCATGAAATTTATGTTGTTTATGATTCCCTTGGTATGAGGCTTCGCTTGCAGGAAAGTAACTTTCTTCTGTTTCATGGGAAAGATCATGAAAGAACATTTTAGTAATGTTGAAAGTAACTCATCTGTCATCCAAAAGAAACAACATGAAAGCATAATTGCGTGGTACAAATGACTGCATGGGTTCTTGAAAGCTTTTACTCCCTCCGTTCCTAAATACAAGTCTTTTTAGAGATTCCAATATGAACTACATACGGAGCAAAATGAGTGAATCTATACTCTAAAATACATCTATATACATCCGTATGTAGTCCGCATTGAAATCTCTAAAAAGACTTATATTTAGGAACGGAGGGAGTACATGACATAACAACAGATCACATTGGGTCACTGATGCATCCACATATAAATGGCAGAGTAAAATAAACATAGCCGCATAATCACACTAACGGAACTATTTATTATTGCAATGGTTATAAATTCGATGTATCCAATGTATTGCCGTACCTAATTTGAGAGCAATGGTTATAAATTCGATGTACTGCTGTGTCAGCAGCAATTATTATTGCACAAAGGAGAGGTAGAAATTCAGGGTATTTGGTGGATATGAAAACAGGAGTAACTTAAAAGGGCACCTACCAATTCCTATCTAACCTGATTTAATTTAAAATAACAAAATATTCTGATTCAAAATGCACAGATATAAATTCTGGTATTAAAACACTCCTTCACATGTGAGTGTTTCTAGCTAAAATGATATTTGATGGATCTGAACTGCCCATGAAACCAATCCAGTTCACTGTAACAGTGTTATTTTATAACCACAAAACCTTGTAATGGATGATAATAGATGGAATGCGTTGTGCTACTTCAAGGTTTAAACAGAGTTCTTACTTGTCCTGATGTGTTAAGATTCATCATTGAAACCTGGGTGTCACCACCATCAGCAGTATATACGGCAAAAATTGTGTCACCATCTGGATGCCAAGCTACATCCTCAGGCCACCTTTGCTTTGAAGAAAAGCAATTTGTAGTGCTAAGCAAAGAGATGGATGGCCTGCAAGTACAAATATTCTAATTCAAAGCATGCTTAAATAAAACAAAAAAACATGCAGCTCCAGAGCCATATGAATTAATTCTCCAGACTATAAGAGGTTGCATGCACCAGCTTCCCATGCAATGTTTCAAGTGATGAACATCATAGTGTGTCATCTTCCGCGAAAATACTGCTACTGCAGAAGGCAATGCATAAGTAGGCAATGCATACAATAAAAATCAGAAGCTTGCTAATTTCATATTGCTACAACAAAACATTATCAATTGATAGTTATCTTTTCCCCATTGACACATAAAATTAATACTATATGAGGTACATGGACTCAAAATATTATTATTTCATGATACCAAT